AGTTAGAACTGCCGGCCATAACAGCCCACACCAATGTTGCAGTTTACCACATTAACTGGCAATACCACACCAGAAGTCCATAAATAAGACTACAAGTTAGTTTTTTGAAAGGATTAATAAAATTGACAAACCACTGGCAGATTTAACAGGAAAAGGAGAAGATGCAAATAACATAAATAAGAAATAAGATGGGCAGCATCATCACAGAAGTTGCTGGAATAAAAAGAGCAATAACAGAATACTATGAAGGATTATACTTCAAAAAATTTGCAAACCTAGAAGAAATTTTTAAATTTCTAGAAACACACTATCTACCAAAGTTAACTCAATTTGAAATAGAAAATTTGAACAGAACCATTACAAAAGAAGAAACTGAAAACTTCTTCCGTAATGGTTCTGTTCAAATTTTTCTATGGATCAAAGAAAAACTTCCAACAAAATAACAGTCCTGGCCTAGATGGCTTTATTGGCAAATTCTACTGAACTTTCAGAAAAGAGTCGACATCAATTCTATTCAACTATTCCAGATCATAGAAAAGGATGAAATACTCCCAAACTCATTCTATGAAGCAAGCATAACCCTGATACCAAAACTAGGCAAAGAAATCACTAAAAATAATATATGTATGTATATATTATAGAACAAGGAGCTCTGGTAGTGTAGTGGTTACGAGTCAAGCTGCTAATCTCAAGGTCAGCATTTCAAAACTATCAGCTGTTCCTCATGAGAAAGATGAGGCTTTCTGCTCCCATATAGATTTATAGCCTCGGAAACCCTATGCAGGGTCACTATGAGTCAGAACCAACTCCACAGCACACTACCACAATCACCACCATATATTATAGAGCAAGGAGCTCTGGAAGCATAGTGGTGAAAAGTTGGGCTGCTAACCTAAAGGTCAGCAGTTCAAAACTACCACGTGGTCTGCAGGAGAAAGATGAGGTTTTCAGCTCCCAAAAGATTTAAAGCCTCGGAAACGCTATACAGGGTCACTATGAGTCAGAACCAACTCCACAGCACATAACCACCATCACCATTATAGAACAATATCCCTCATGAATAATGACATAAAAAATTCTCCACAAAATACTAGTCAACAGAATCCAACAACATATCAAAAAATAATACATCTTGACCAAGTGGGATTCATATCAGGTATGCAACAGTGCTTCAGCAATAGAAAAACAATCAATGCAATTCACCACATAAATAAAACAAATTCACATAAATTCACATGGTCATATGAATTAATGCAGAAAAGGTATTTGACAAAATCCAACACCAATTCTTGATAAAAATGCTCAGCAAAATAGGAATGGAAGGAAAATTCCTAAACATGATTAAGGGTTTATACACATAACCAACAGTCAACATTATGCTAAATGAGAGAGACTGAAAACATTACTCTTGCCAATGAGAACCAAATAAGGAATGGGAATTACTCCTATTCAATATTATATTGGAAGTCCTACCCAGAGCAATAAGACAAGAAAGGGAAATAAAAGCACCTAAACTGACAAAGAAGTTAAACAATCTCTGTTTGCCGATGATGTGATCCTAAACATAGAAAATCCTAGAGACTCAACAAGAAAACTATTGGAACTAATAGAAGGATTCAGCAAAGTGAATACACAAAAATCAGATTCCTCTACACTAACAGAGAGACCTCTGAAAAGGAAATCCGAAAAATAATACTATTTGCAATAGCCATACAAAAGATGAAGTACTTAACATTGTGAAAATATCAATATTCCAAAGTGATCTACAGATATAATACAATCCTGATCAAGATTCCATCATCATCCTTGAAAGAGATGGAAAAACTAAATGCCAACTCTACATGGAAATGAAAGACACCCCAGATAAAGTATTACTACAGAAAAAGAGCAAAACAGGAGGCCTCACACTTCCCCACCTCAAAACCTATTCAGCCACCATAGTCAAACCAGCCTAGTATTGGTATAATGACAGATACACAGACCAATGGACAGAATCAAAAACTCAGAAGTAAATCCATCTACCTAAGGACAACTAATCTTTTACAAAGAGTGAAAACCCATTAAATGGGATAAGAGAGAGTCTCTTAACAAATGGTGCTAGCAAAACTGGATATCCCTTTGCAAAAAAGTGAAAACAGTCTATGTCTCTCACCAACTACAAAAACCAATTCAAGATGGATGAAAAACCTAAATGTAAATTCTAAAACTATAAAGATCGTCAAAGAAAAAATAGGGACAAATATAGGAGCATAAATACAGTATCCAACATAACTAAAAATGTACACAGAGCAGAAGACAAACTAGATGACCATGACTCCTAAAAAATTAAGACATTTATGCACATCAAAATACTTAACCAAAAGAGTAAAAAGAGAACCAACAGACTGGTAAAACATTTTAAATAATAACATATCAGAAATGATCTAATCTCTAAAATGTATAGAAAACTTCAATATGTGAGCAACAAAAACATAAACAATTCAATTTTAAAACAGGCAGAGGAAATGAAAACAAACATTACCAAAGAGGAGATTCAACTGGCCAACAAACACATGAAAACATGTTCTCAATCATTAGCCAACAGATAGATACAAATCAAAACAACCATGAGATATCATCTCATTCCAGTAATAATACCAAAGTTAAAAAGGAAGAAAGAAGAAGAGAGAGAGAAACAACAAATATGACAAGGGCATGGGGAGACTGGAAACCTCATACACTGCTAGTGGAACTGCAAAGTGGTACAACCACTGGGGAAAACAGTATGGTACTTGTTTAAAATTTTGGAAACAGGAATACCATATAATCCAGCAATCCAAATACGAGTAACAACATGAATAGTTTCACACACATGCTCATTGCAGCACTGTTCACAATGGCAGAAACACGGAAACCTAAATGCCCTTTGTATGAGACCACTACTATACGAAGTCAAGAAAAGGTTTACACACAGAAAGAATAATTCTTTGAAGGATTATTTCCAACTCATAGTGACCCTCTCTACAGCACGGGTGGTGAAGGTTTGGCCATATAAGGCCATATTGTTGTTGTTGTTAAATGCTGTTTAGTTGGTTCTGACCCATACTAACCCTGTATAGGGTTTCTGAGGAATGGCTGGTGAGCTTGAGCCAGCAATCTTGTGGTTCAAATTGCAGTCCAGTGCATTAACCCACAGGACCATACCAGGACTACTGTAAGACCATACTAAGGCCCATGAAATTATTTGGTCTGGCCCTGCCAAGGCAACGGCAGTTCCAGCCATCACATTTGTTGTTGTTGTTAAGTGCTGCCGAGTTTGTTCTGACTCACAGCAACCCTAGAGTTTCTGAGGAGCAGTTGGTGGCAGGGATAAATTAATTAATGTTTGACCAAATATAGCAGGCTAAATTTTAAGCTGACAATTTTTTATAGCCTGCAACACAAATTTTGGCAGAAAAAAGGCTCCCCATTCCTGCTGTATATGGTTTCAGAGAAGTGGCTGGTGAGTTTGAACCTCCGACCTTGTGGTTCAAGCCGTCTTTGCGGTCCAGCACATTATCCTGCAGTGCCTCATGTTAACTTGGCTAAAAAGAAACTCAATATACAATAATGGGAGGTCAGCACAAAATGATTGAGGCAAAGGAAGACACTGGGAGGAGCACAAGAGTCAAAGAAAGACCACAAAAGAACTGATGCATTTGAGTTATGGTGATGGAGGAGGATATTAAAAGTACCAGGGACAGCCAAAAGAACAAACAAATCTGTTTTGGAAGTAGCCCAGCCAGAATGCTCCTTAGAAGTCTCTCGTACTTTGGACACATTATCAGAAGGGAACAACAGTCCCTGGAGAAGAATGCCGTCCTTGGTAAGTGTCAGGGAAAAAGAGGAAGACTCCCAACACTATGGATTGGCACAATGGCAGCAACAATGGGCTCTAGCCTAGCAACGATTATGAGATTGGGTCAGGACTGGCAACATTGTTGCCTTCTGTTTGTTCATAGGGTCACTATGAGTCAGTACCGATTGGACAGCACTTAACAACAGTAACAACAAAGCTCAGAAGGCCCGGAGGGATAGGAAAGGTGGATAATCGGGAAGGGTAAATACAGGGAGGAAGTGGGAAGATTGCTGTTACAGTGTGGGAGGGATTGCAGTTAAGGTCACATAACAAAATGTGTATGAATTGTTGAATGGAAAACCAATTTTCTCGGTAAACATTCACACAAATCACAATTAAAAAACAAAAGGCATAATTTGGCTGTCTATGTTTTGCATATTTTATTTGAGTTGCATATCGTTTACCTAATGAGTTGTAGTGGTTCTTCAGCTATTCTGAAAATAAGTATTTTACCAAAACCCAAACCTGTTGCCATGGAGTCAATTCCAATTTATAGCAGCACTATAGGGTTTCCAAGACTGTAAATCTTTACAGAAGCAGACTGCCATGTACTTCTTTCCTGGAGTGGTTGGTGGGTTTGAACTGTTAAGCTTATTTCTAGCAGCCAAGAATTTTACTACAGCAGCCCAGGACTCATCATAAGTCCTTTAGTGGATAGACATTTTGAAAAAAGTTTTTCCTAGTCTGTGCAAAATCTGTATCCATAACCACCACGTACATAGGCTCTCAGCATTCATTGTAAGGAATGAAAAACTCTGTTGAGTGGTGGCCTCTTCCTAACAAGAATTGGAGGCTTTATAATTAACAAGGAGCAAGGGAATACTGTTAGAAGTTTTATTTGAAGATTCAGTGTTCACATTTTTTCGATTAATATGATTTCTTCTAATTTTATTACAGAACTGACCATCCCTTTCTCGGATCTGAAGAATTAATGTGACCAAAGCTGTGATTACGTCTGTTCTCTCTATTTACAATCCATAGAAAAGAACTAGACACCTCTTCATTATATGAACACTACCCTTAGCAACTTTTTCTAAGGTGTCTGTTTTTCATTTACTAGTTGTTGTTTTTTTTTCTCCTTATGGAAAAAGACCATTCCCGTAAGTTAGAAGTAAAGAGCAGTGGACCTTCCAAAGAGACTACTCCCAAGAGGATCATCCATTTTGTTAACGGAGACATCATGGAAGAATATAGCACGGAGGAAGAGGAGGAGAAAGAAAAAGAGGAACAGAGAATGAATTCAACGCTTGATCCTGTAAGCTTAGAATATCAATATTAGGAAACATGGGGGATAAATGCATGTATAATTGAGCAAAAAAAGGCTTGTAGAAAGCATAGTTTTAAGCTAAGTCCTGGACTTCTTAGTTTTCTTTCTAGATTCTATTGTTTTTGTTAAATGCTGTCAAGTAGGTTCTGACACGTTGTATTTGTTAAGTGTTGTTAAGTAGTGATCCTGTATAGGGTTTCTGAGGAGCAGCTGGTGAGCTTGAACCACCAACTTTGTGGTTCAATGTGATTTTGCAGTCCAGCAGCCTGTATAAGGCTTCTAAGGAGCAGCTGGTGGGTTTGAACTGCCAACCTTGTAGTTCACAGTCCAGTGCTAATCCTATGGTGCTATGGCAGGAGTTTCTATAGTGGAATTAGAATTTTGATAATCTTAGTTTTCTTATCTAGGTGAAAGAAAATGAAACATAGAAAGCATTTTGGAATCTACATGAAAGACTACAATTACCACTCATAGTGTTGGTTGCTCTCAACTTGGTTTCTTTCTCTTTTTTAGTCTAAACTTTCATGGGGGTCTTATCTACTGTTTTGGGCAAGGCAGATAATAAGTACCTCATTTTCTGGTAAGTACTGCCAAGGTAATATTTTTCTGTCCTAAATACGTAACCTTCAGAGTTAGATGGGGCTTCTAATGGTTTAATTCACTCCACAGCATTCTGAAGAAGTAATGCTCTTAGGTTTGTGCTTGGGCATTCTAATGCCAGAGGACCTCACATCTGAAAACAGATGCTTCCATCTTTTGCCAACACTTGTTAATGAATTCTTTCTTTTGTTGGTTCACATTTTGGCTTCTTTTAAAGTTCTTCCAGTTGATGCTAGTCATCTTTACTAGAGCCACACAAAACCAGTCTAGATGCCTCTTTCATAGGACAGATAAAGTATTTGAAGATAATAGTCAGTCAGATCTTCCTAAATTGACCCTTTGTTGAATACACTTCCAAGTTTTGCGTTTTTTAACTATTGTTATATGACATAGTTCTAAGTCCCCTCATCATAGTCACTCTGTTAAGAACATGAACTTTATTGACCTCTCCTAGAGGTATAATGAATGGTGTAAGTGGCTATTTATAACTGGTAAAATACCAAATCTTATTTTGCTTGGTTTTCACCAACTTAGAAAACAATTTGCAACATGTAACTACTCATTTCCTTCTAATGTGCATATGATAGGGAAAAATCATTTTATGACTCTGAGACAATATAAAAGAATATATCTTCATTCATTCATTAAATAAATATTTCCTGGTGCCTAGCATGTACCCAGCACTGTACTGGGCCTTAGAACACAAAGGGCTCAATATTTGGTATATGATACAGACCAGTAAGCATGCCTAAAACATAACATGTTGTTACAGTTTCCAGGAGAGGAGTGCATGGGAACATGGGCTGGGAGGCTCAGGAATGCTGATGTATGCAGGAGACACCGCAACAGAACTGTGGAAGCATGTCAGGTTACGGCCAGATTAGGGGATTAGGTATGAGAGTGACCAGAGTTCTTTAAAATACAATAAAAAGTGATAGGGGTGATTTAGCCAGATGATATGAGCCTCTAAGGAATAAATGTTTTTACAGACTGAACTTGCAATGTGAATTCAGCTTCCTTCAAGGTTCCAAAAAGAATTGGTGTAAAAGTGTTTCTGCTTGAGGTCTCTAAATGTTGTTGTTGTTGTTATCGTCAAGTGCCTTTGAGTAGTTTCCAATTCACAGGGTTTCATAGGAGCTGCTGGTGGGTTTGAACTGCCGACCTTGTAGTTCTTAGTCCAGTGCTGATCCTACATTGCTACACCAGGATGTCTCTAACTAGTAGCACGTAACTAGTTGCCACGAGCAGTGGCGCCGTGTATGTCAGAATAGACACATGCTCTCTAAGGTTTTCAATGGTTGATTTTTTTGGAATGAGATCACCATGGTGGCTCTGAGTAGATTTGAATCCCCAACATTTTGGACTCCTCCAGAAAGTAGTAGAAACATAAATATGCCAGCAGTCTACACCCTCATCTCTATAGAGAAAGTTTGAGTAGAGTTGGAACTCAGATGGCACTGGTAATTAATTCTTTCCACTAAAATCCTACTTGTTTATAACCAAAAAAACTTCTCAAGATATAATATTTTAGAAGTTTTCAACACATATATTAGATACTGTGACAGATACACAAAATAAAGAGCTGAGGATTTTTAAAAAGGTAAGGCATGTTAAAAAGAGAGTATCATTAAAAAGAGAGTATACCAAGAGGTGGAGGAGTCAGAAGAATCAGAAAGTCCAATAACTTAAAGGGCACATTTCTAGGAGACATCTTTGGGAAAACAAGCATTCAATATTTATGCTGTATCATTGCCCCTGACTCTAACAAGAAATGTTGAGCTTACAGGTCACTTTGATGCTGCAACTGGTGACAATAAAGTCCTTAAATTCCTAAAAGAATTCATCAGGACGCATAGCAGAATACTGGAATTAAGTCTTGTTACCAATGGATTGTGGTTTTGATCTAATATGAAATATTCTCACAGCAGTGTTTGGCTGCTATGCCCAGTGATGGGCAACATCTGTTCTGACTGGCCAAGCCCCATGCTATCCCTGTTGTTAAGTATTTTGAAAATCTCTCTTGCTACCATTACCTGGGCTCTCATGATACAGCTAGTTTAGATGTAATTCCATATGATGATAGAAGATTTGACAAATTCTTTTTTTTTTTTTTAACTTTTTGTGAATTATGTGATAGTTTACATGGGAGAACATTAGTTTTACATTCATCCTATCATATATCATTTCATTGCCAGGGTTACAAACCCCTCCATACATCATCAAAGGTACACCCTGCAAGCCTGCCCCCTGGTCATCAGTACACAGCGCCTCTCCCTCTCTGGGTCTAAAGGCCCCAGCTGCTCCATCTCTCCACGTCATTGTCTCTGCCTCCATTTCTGCTGACAAATTACTTTTGAGCCTTAGAGCTGTTTTGAGAGCATAGAGCAATCAAAATAGTTTATCAACTTTGAACTTTACTAAGTAAATAAACCATTTGCCATCATGTCATTATTTCTGACTCATGTGGCCCTGTGTATGTCCAGAGTAAAACTGCTCCACAGGGTTTTCAGTGGCTAATTTTTCAGAAGAAGTAGATCACTGTGCCTTTCTTGTAAAGATAACTCTTGTTGTTGTTGTTGTCAGGTGCCATCGAGTCGGAACCGACTCATAGCGACTCCATGCACAGCAGAACGAAACAATGTTCGATCCTGGGCCAACCTCACCACCGCTGCCACCCCCGAGTCCATCAATGATGCCACCTGGCCAATCCATCTCGTTGGAGGTCTTCCTCTTTTTCTCTGACCCTCCACCCTACCCAGCATGACATCCTTCTCCAACGATTGTTTCCTCCGGACTACACATCCAAAGTAGGAGAGACGAAGCTTAGCCATCCTGGCCTCCAAGGAGCACTCTGGCTGCACTTCTTCCAAAACAGATCTATTGGTTCCTTTGGCAGTCCATGGCACCCTCAGTATTCTCCTCCAACACCACAACTCAAAGGCATCAATTCTTCTACGATCCTCTTTATTCACTGTCCAGCTTTCGCATCCATATGAGGCTATTGAAAACACAATGGCCTGGGTCAGGCGCACCCTAGTCCTCAAGCTGACATCTCTGCTCTTCAATACTTTAAAAAGTTCCTGTGCAGCAGATTTGCCCAGTGCAATACGTCGTCTGATCTCTTGACTGCTACTTCCGCGAGTGTTGATAGTTGATCCAAGAAGAATGAAGTCCTTGACAACTTCAATCCTTTCTCCATTGATAAGAATGTTGTTTATTGGTCCAGTGGTGAGGATTTTTGTTTTCTTGACATTGAGATGCAATCCATATCGAAGGCTGTGCTCTTTAATCTTCATAAGTAAATATTTCAAGTCCTCTTCACTTTCAGCGATCAAGGTTGTATCATCTGCATATCGCAGGTTGTTAATGAGTCTTCCTCCAATCCTAACTCTGGGTGGACACAAATCTCTAATTGTTCAGTTAGTAGCTGAGTGTGTTCACCCAGGAACTCCAGCTTTGAAATGACGTGTAGTAATAGATCACTTTTAGGCAAATTTAACTTCTTTGCAGCTCTAGTTGCTCATTTAGTTTACCAAAGTGTTTGTTTCTTTCCTTTAGTATGTGATTTCCTTGGTGAAAGATTTGCTATCTTCTTTGGTCTTGATCAACCCAAATATCAGTCTGTGTTAGATGAGTACAATCGGACACAAAATAAGGTATGTGGCCTCCTGTAGGGGATCCCAAGGGCCCTGAGCTGGGAAGGTTGTTTGCTCCAGTTTTAGGACAGTATAGAATAATCATGTCTCACAATTTCACTGAGTTCCTCCGATCAGACTAACTTATGTTTCTAATGCCACTCACCTTACAACACTTCTTACTTGCTTCTCTTGTGAACATTATACTGTCATGGGATGGGTCATAGAGGATAGTGGAGTGTGAAGCTTAAGACTGCTTCAAGGAGAAACTTCTCACAGGATATCTCTATAAGGAGGGGGTGCAGACGTATTTGGTTATACAGTTAAACTCTTCCTTATTTCTCTCCTTAACAGGAAAGTGGCAGGAAAACGGAAAGGAATGGTGCAGAGGCTCTTTCAGCTGAGGTTCCTAATGAAAAGCATCCCCTACAGATTGGTGGCCGAGCATATGGAACTCACCAACCAAACACTGCACAGTGGGGCACCTCATCCAGGAAGGGCCTGGTAGCTGACTCCAGTCTCTGATGGGCAGAGCGACTGTGGTTTCCCTGGGTCTCTGCTCCTTGACAACCTATTACACTGGCAAGAGCACCACCAAGTAGCACGTATGAAGCAGATCTGACCCCAAGCTCTCTGTGCCTTATTCTTATTCTTAAGCAGCTAGATTTGTAAGTAGCAATTTGAGTAGTTTGGGATTCTTTCTCAATATGAATTTTTATTTACAAACTAATCCTTGTTAACTCTGATGTAAATTCTTGTTAGTCAGCTGTGGTCTAGTAGCATTGACACACTTGTACTTTAAAGATTGGGGGGGTTGGGTGTTTGGGGCTGTAACTCTCTGGCTTAGGGGTAGAGTGCAGTAAAGAAGCCCTCCCTGTTCTTTGGGAAAGCCATTGGACACTACAAAGTCTAAAGAAATTCCCTTTCAGGTTTTGGCATGAGGTATACTCACATCGTTACAAATAGCCATCCTGGCTTAATAAGAGGGTAGCTTTATACTAAGAAAACATTGCTAATATCTCTGCTACAATGCCTTTATCAAAGTCTTTAAAAATTAGATGCTTTCCCCAGTAATCAATCAAATTATCTAAGTGCTAGAAAAAGCATTTGGAAAAAAATACTGATTTTCTTTTATTATTTGTCAACATATTTTACAAACCTGGAAAGATCAAACATGAAAATAATAGCTAAATAAATAGACTGTGCTGCCCAAAGTTAACTTTTTTTGTAGTAAGAAGTCTCCAGTCAAATTCTCAGTTCTTCCATTTACTAGTTGTATGATTGAAGTGTCCAAATTTCTGGACTCCTGTTTCTTTCTTTGTAAAATAAGGATGGCATATGTTCATTCCTCAAAGGTTATTGTTAAACAAAATGAGATAATAAACTTGAAAACACTTTTTAACCCGTGGATATTTGTTGTTGTTGAGTGTTGTTAAGTCAATACCAACCCACAGTGACCCTGTATAGGGCTTCCGAGGAGCAGCTGGAGAGCTTGAACAGCCAACCTTGCTGCTCAAATCGACTTTGCAATCCAGCGCATTAATCCACCATGCCACATCAGGACTCCTTGTAAATAATTATCGTTAATATTTAATTAATGGCTGTTATAGACTGTTACACTGTTGTTGTCATTGTTGTTAAGTATCATTGAGCCCGTTCCATCTCATAGCAACCCTGTATAGGGTTTTCGAGGAGTGACTGGTAAGCTTGAACCACTGACTTTACAGTTCAAACTGACGTTGAGGTCGAGTGCTTATCCTACATCACACCAAGACTGTTACATTCTTAGTCTCCAAACCAGGCCTTTTCAAATATACACTCTTATATTGTCTCACCCTGCTCTGGTAGCATAGTGGTTATGAACTGGGCTGCTAACCTCACGGTCAGCAGTTTGAAACTACCAGATGTTCCGTGAGAGAAAGATGAGGCTTTCTGCTCCCGTAAAAGATGTACAACCTCAGAAACCCTATACAGGATCGCTATGAGTTATAACCAACCAACCATATTGATGCTGGGCTTGGTCATGTGATTTTCTTTGGCCAATGGGATAGAAGTAAATGTGATGCAAGCAGAGGGAGCTTATACTCCTGGAAAGCTCCATGATGTGAAGTAGCTTGGGCTGTGGCTGTGGCTGTGGCTGTGGCTGCGTGCCTTCGAGTAGGTTCCGACCCATAGCGACCCTGTACAGGGTTTCCGAGGGTGTAAATCCTTACGGGAGTAGAAAGCCTCATCTTTCTCCCGCGGAGCAGCTGGTAGTTTCGAACCGCTGACCTTAAGGTTCGCAGCCCGATTCGTAACCACTACGCTACCAGAGCTAGACATCCAAATAATGAGAGACCTTATGGAGAGAAATCTCCAAGGATGAAAGACCATTTTACACATTCTAAGTTCTCAGCTGCATGCAGACACATGACTAATCTACTGCAGTACATGGAACAGAAGAATCATATAACTGAGCACAGTTTATCCACAGAATTCCGAGAAACAATAAAGCATTGTTCAAAGTTTTTGAATGGTTGTTAGGAAGCTACTCACAGAACTGAAATACTAGATCTAAGACAAGGGTAAACAAGAGTTTAACTGCTATGAAATGGGACAGAACTAGGCCTGGAGAATGTTGTTGTTGTTAAGTACTGTCAAGTCGGTTCCAAACCATAGCAACCCTGTACAGGGTTTCCAAGGAACAGCTAGTGAGCTTGAACCGCCTCCCTTGCAGTTCAAACAGCTTTGCAGTCTGGTGCATTAACCCACAGCACCACACCAGGACTCCCAGTATAAGGTATGGTTAATTGAATATATTAAGGAGCTCTGGTAGCACAGTGATTATGAGTTGGGCTGTTAACCTCAAGGTCAGCAGTTCCAAACTGTCAGCTCTTCCATGGGAGAAAGATGAGGCTTTCTGCTCTTGTAAAGATTTACAGACTCAGAAACCCCCTATGCAGGGTTGTTGTGAGTCAGAATTGACTCCATGGTACATAACCACAACCACTACCAGCTGAGTAGATTAGGATAGGTAGCTTATGCTGCAACAACAAACAACTCTAAAATAGTGTCTAAGACAATAGAAATGTTTGTTTTCTTATGAGGAACCCACTGCCATTTAGGTGGCTTCTAAGACAGAGATTCTCCATCTGTTGGTTCAGTATTGCATGCTTTTTTGATCATATTGTTGTTGTTGTTGTTGTTGTTAAGTACCGAGGAGTCGGTTCCAACTCATAGTGACCCTGCACAGGGTTTCCAAGGCTGTAAATCTTTACGGGAGCAGAACGCCTCATCTTTCTCCCGCGGAACTGCTGGTAGATTGGTGGCTACATATTATGGGAGAAGCAGAAACAGAGTGAAGCACCTGCCTCCAGTAAGAAGTTAATCTTGTCACTTCTGATATGTTTCTTCTCCCATAGAAAGTCCTATGGCCACAATAAACTTTAAGGGGTGTAAGCCTCCTAAAATATGTGAGGAAAGTGGCATAGAAGCTAGGTAATAGGCTTGAAAGTCAATAGGACATTAGTTGCATCTCAGCCTTCTTCAAGTTTTTCAACTTCTCAAGGTTCTCATCTGCAAAAATAGATTTGATACAGGAAGCAAGCCCAATTTTAGAAGGATACTGAGGTTTCTCCAGGACTCTAAGTACAGATAAATCAATGAGCTCAAACATAAAAACAATTTTAAAGATGGTGCAGTTCCTGGCAGTGTTTCATTCTGCTGTGTACAGGGCTACTATGAGTTAGATAGCACCTGACAATAACAACAATACTAAAATTTATTTATTCATTTAATACATATCAACTGGGCACCTACCATGTGACACTTAACCATATTAGGTACTCAAACCAAACAGACAAAAATCCCTGCCTTCCATTTGGCCTTGAGTTTCCAACAACCAAATTAGCAAGACTTCTAGTCTTTTTGTCATCCACATGACCAGCCTCCCAGATGGCTCCCAAGAATCTCCACTCCTAGTTTTCATGCCCCGTGTAGTATCTGCTCACATTGAACCTGGGTAGTCCTTTTTCCCTTTGATACTCATACAGGAGGAAACGAACTGCCACGCTATGAAAATACTCAGGCAGACTATGTAGAGGTCCATGTGACCAACAGCAGTTAAACCTTGCCTACAACCCTATGAGTATGCTTGGAAAAGGAACTTCCACCAGTTTTTTTAATGATTAAAGCTTTGGCCAAAGGCTTAATTGCAACGTCATAAGACACTTTGAGCCCAAACTATCCAGTTTAGCTACTTTTGAATTCCTGCTTCATACAAATTGTGATATAATAAATGTGTGTTGTTTTCATCTACTTAGTTTTGGGGTTATTTATTATACAACAAAATATAATTAATACAGTTCCTTTCCTTATGCTTCTAAGGACTTGTAAGGATACTTGTTATTGTCAAGTGTTGTCCTGTCAGTTCCAACTCATAGCAATGCTGCATAGGGTTTCCGAGGAGCAGCTGGTGAGTTTGAACCACCAACTTTGCAGTCCAGGGCATTAACCCACAGCGTCACACCAGGACTTAAGGATACTTAAACTTATCCAAGAATCAGTGCTCCAGGAGGGTAGGAATTTTGTCTTACTTCTGCAAGATTAGATCACTGAGCTGTATCAAATACGTCTCCTAATTTACTGCGTTGTATTGGGGCCTAACCAGGCAACTGTCTTCTGCAACTTCAGCCTGGCTCTTTAATTTGCCACCACTGTCAATGACTGTATTTGCCACCTGTTGATTCACCCACGTGGGTCCTCAAAGTATCAGGGGAAACAATTCTATCAGTCATGACCATCCTAAGGCAAAAAAAAATTTAAGTCCCCAGAAATTATAAAGCTTGAGTGATAGAACTTTTTCACTCACAGACCCATAGTCATATTCCCGCAAAGCACAATCATCATGCCAAATTATCCAGGAGAAAAGATTCTACCATTAACCCTACTCTACAACCAGCACGAACATTCCACACCAATTATCTGCACACTGCTGTAGTACTTGTCACAAGTACAGGTTTCTCCCTCTTTCACAGTGGGTTCCTCTTGTGACTTTAATGTCCTTTCATGCCACCTGGTCTTGATCAGTGTCAATCCAATCCATTCTAGCTCATTGTATATATATTTGTTGCTGTTCTTTACTGTCATGGAGTTGGTTCCAACTCATAGTCACGTTGTATAGGGTTTCCAAGGAGTGGCTGGTGAGTTTGACCCAATGACCTTGTGGTTCAAATGGACCTTTATTTATCCCACAGCACTACACCAAGACACACTCTCTCTCTCTGTATATGTGTGTATATATATATGTATGTTGTTGTTGTTGTTAAGTGCCGTCGAGTCGGTTCCG